CTTCAACCGTAGCTGCGCGCGCACGTTGTGCTATCCTGTAACCTGGCATCAGTATGTAGTTTGTTACGTGGAGCTAATATGGCCAACTAGGTGCACAATTGTTCACACCTGTACATAATGCATGCTGTAAAGCCCCTGTGCCCTTTTTTATCATGCTGTTGTCCCCTAGATATAAGCCCAGACCTCGGTTAAGCGCATGCGCTTATACCGGTACCTGGAAACACTAGTAGTTGGAGCATATCACGTAGGCATGGCAGTATTGAAGTAAAACTAGCAATCACCACCACCATAGAAGCTGCATCGACACCACAATTACCTACAAAGAAAAAAGCATAGTGACAGTCCTCTGAACTTCTCCTGAACCTGCACTGTTACTGTAATTCCAACAAACCAAGTTCTACAGATGGTACGGTGGTTATGCCAACTCAGTACCCGCTGGTGGGCTTCAGATGCAGCCAGCTCCTGACGCCATCAGCTATCGAGCCAATGCTCATGTATGAGCTCGCACTAGGATGTGAGTCAGAAGACATCCGAGAATCCCTTCCACCATACGGCACAGCAGAGATACTTGTTGAGGGCAGTCCTCCGTTGCTTGAGCTTTCTTCTTTCACAATACTCTCCCACTCGTCCTCCTTGTCCGGGCAGTGCTTGGCAATGAGAGCAGTGAGGCGATATGCCACCTCTGTCATGCTGGGTCGCCTTGTGCCTGGTGACTTCATGCAGTCCAGAGCCAGCTCTGCAAACTCCACTATGGCCTCCTCGATTACCGCCGGCATCTTGCTGTCCTTGAGCTCATACAGTTCAAATACCTCAATCTTCCTTCTTGCCTGGTGGGCGTCCAGGAAGGGAGAGATGATAGATTGGAGAGGCGTCCAGGCAAGGAAGAATGATAGAGAGGAAAGGTGTTCCAAGGAGAATGATAACGGGCAAAGGCGGTGGAAGGATGATTGACTGGAGAGGCGTTCCAAGGAGAATGATAACAGGCAAAGGCGGTGGAAGGCAGCAAAGAAAGGGGACTATGATCAAAGACGGACGAGGCCCGGGCATACAAAGACGAGATCCGGGCATACTACGAGGTCCGGGCATACGACGAGGTCCGGGCATATGACGAGGTCCGGGCATACGACAGTTCTACCACCCCACCTCGCGTCGTGTTCTGTCCTCTCAGGACGTCACGTTTGACGAGTCGGTGTCTTACTACCGTCTCTTTCCCTACCGCGCTGCCTCTCTCACCCCCCCGCCACTCTTCCTAGCACCAGGTACTCCGCCGGTAGACCCCCTCCCCCCTCAGGGTCCTGCCCCCTCAGGTGTGTCTCAGGTAGACCCTGCAGAGCCGCTCGAGGTAGCTGTCGACTCAGGTGCTGCTAGGGGTGCTGAGCCTGAGCGTGTGGAGCCTGGGGGTGCGGAGCCTGAGCGTGTGGAGCCTGGGGGTGCTGTGTCTGGGGGTGCTGAGTCTGGAGGTTCTCCGGGTGTCCCGTTGCGGCGGGAGCCCCTCTCTCCGCAGCGGCTTCGTGAGTGGTACGCTCGGCGCTGTCGCCGTGCTATTGGTGCTGGAGCTGCTGCTGGTTCTGGTGCTGCTGGAGGTGCTGCTGGTGCTGGAGCTACTGGAGGTACTGCTGTTGCTAGTGCTGCTGGAGGTGCTGCTGGTGCTGGTGCTGCTGGAGGTGCTGCTGGTGCTGGAGCTACTGGAGGTGCTGCTGGTACTGGTGCTGCTGGAGGTGCTACTGGTTCTGGAGCTGCAGGAGGTGCTGCTGGTGCTGGAGCTACTAGAGGTACTGCTGGTGCTGTTGCTGCTGGAGGTGCTGCTGGTGCTGGTGCTGCTGGAGGAGCTGCTGGTGCTGGAGCTGCTGGAGCCGCTGGTCCTGGAGGTGCTCGTACTGGAGGTACTGGAGCTGCTGGGGCTGGTGGTGCTGCAGGCGTTGGAGCTGCAGGTACAGAGGCTCGTGGTGCTGCGGGAGTTGTTCCTGGAGACCCTGGAGCTGAGGGTACTGGTGCTGTCTCTGCTGTTTCTGGAGGCGCTGCGCGGCCGCGGCCGTACTACGTTCCGCTCCTTCAGCAGGTTCTTGGTCTACCGCCTTCTTCTGGTCCTACTCCTCCTTTACTGAGTCCACCGCCTGTCCAGTCCCAGTCGCCGTTACAGCCGTCCTCTCCACTGCCTGGTCCTTCTCCTTACTCTGGACCGACTAGAGGTCTGACGGAGCGTCGTGAGCCTGAGTCGCGCCCTGTGTCGCCTGTGTCTCGTGCTGCGTCGCCTATCCGCACTGCTCGCGCTGGTCGTGTTTTGCGTCCGCGTCCTCCTCCTGTCCCTGGCACTCACTCTATGACACTGCGTCCTTCCACTGCTCCACAGCGTGTCCCTCTGCCCTCTCCTCCTGCGTCCTCTCTTCCTGACGGTCCGGACCCGGAGTCTGACTCCCTTCGTGCTGCTAGTCCTACTGTCACGCACTTTCTAGCCACTTCTGTCACTGACCCTCTGTTTGAGTCCTCTGCTGCGTCTGCTCTCGTTGCTGAGCTTGTTGACTTTGCTGCAGCCTGTCGCCTAGACTACGCCACTAGTCTTGTTGCTGAGTCTTCGTCTGTGTCTGTCTGTCTTCCGTCCGTCGGGGGTGAGTGTGCTCTTGGCACGGACGTTCTTGAGGACAGACAGGAGGAGTTTGAGTGCTTTGCCGCTTCTGTACCTCATCTCATGTCCATGCTGCTTGCCCCTGAGGGAGACCCGGATGCACCAGACATCCCGACCCCGCGCTCTTACGCAGAGGCGATAGAGGGTCCCTACTCCTCTCAGTGGCACGCAGCCATGGACGCCGAGATGGCTTCCTGGAAGTCCACAGGCACCTACGCAGACGAGGTTTCCCCACCTGGGGCGAACATCGTCAGTGGCATGTGGATCTTCAGGGTGAAGCGGCCGCCGGGTTCTCCGCCTGCCTTCAAGGCGCGTTAGGTTGCACGTGGCTTCAGTCAGCGACAAGGAGTTGACTTCTTTCAGACCTTCTCTCCCCTACCCCGAAGATGACCACTCTTCGGGTACTGCTGCACATTGCTGCTCAGCGTGACTACGAGCTCCACTCGCTTGACTTCAGCACAGCCTTCCTACAGGGCAGCCTACACGAGGAGATCTGGTTGCGTTGCCCACCTGGCTTCACTGGGTCGTTTCCTGCTGGTACCCAGTGGAGCCTCCGGCGGCCAGTCTACGGTCTCCGCCTGGCACCCCGTGAGTGGCACGACACACTCAGGACGACTCTTGCTGCTCTTGGATTTGCTCCTTCCACTACTGACCCTTCTCTGTTTCTACGCACTGACACTACTCTGCCGCCGTTCTACGTTCTCGTGTACGTAGACGACCTCGTCTTTGCTACTGGTGACACTGAGGCACTCGCCCACGTGAAGTCCGAACTGTAGAAGAGACACACGTGCACAGACCTTGGTGAGCTGACAAGCTACCTTGGCTTGCAGATCACCCGGGACAGAGCACAGCGCACCATTACCTTGACTCAGTCACACATGGTGCAGCAGGTCCTTCAGCGCTTCGGCTTCACGTACTCCTCGCCACAGTCCACTCCTCTGCCTACCGGTCACTCGCTCTCAACTCCACATTCGGACGAGTCCGCAGAGCCGAGTGGCCCATATCCAGAGCTTGTGGGCTGCCTCATGTACCTGATGACTTGCACACGACCTGACCTCGCATACCCTCTCAGCCTTCTGGCTCGCTACGTGGCTCCCGGCAGGCACCGAAAGGTGCACTGGGATGCTGCGAAGAGGGTGTTGCGATACTTGTGCAGTACATCGGGCATGGGGCTCGTGCTTGGAGGATGGGCTCGAGTTGTCCTCACTGGTCACGCTGACGCCTCCTGGGTTGACGACTTGGCTACACAGCGGTCGTCACAGGGTTACACCTTCAGTCTTGGCTCCGGTTTTGTCTCTTGGCGGTCTACCCGCTCTTCTTCTGTTCTCAGCTCCAGTTGTGAGGCTGAGATCTACGCTGGGGCCATGGCTGCACAGGAGCTTCGCTGGCTCACCTACCTGCTGACCGACCTGGGAGAGGCGCCTCGTTCTCCTCCAGTTCTGTACGTCGACAACAAGGCCATGCTTGCCTTGTGTCAGGAGCACAGACTGGAGCACAGAACGAAGCACATTGCTCTGCGCTACTTCCTTGCTCGAGAGTTACAGCAGCGTGGCCAGCTTCGCCTAGCTTACGTGGCCTCTCAGGCAAACACTGCTGATGTTTTCACCAAAGCACTTCAGCCTTGTGATCATCAGCGTTTCTGTACTGTGTTAGGTCTTGTACCTACTGTGCCTCACTTACTTTCTTCTTGACTCTGCTTGTACTGTGCTCTTTATACATATACCTGCATGCTTACACTTGCTAGGTTGTGTTCACTGTATTGTTTGTTTTCCTTTATATAACTCTGCATGTGAACTGGCCTTGTGGCCATTTGCTTGTGCTCAGACTGCGTGGTGACTTTGTGATCCACCCTGAGCTTGCTTTGCCTTGCTTGACTGGTCTTGTGACCTCTTGTTCTCCCCCACTTTGCCTATGGGGGTGTGTCAAACTTATATGCTATAGTCTGTTTAGGCTGTAGTGGGGTAGTTCTTATAGGTTACAACACTTTTAGGTTTCCTACTTGTACCCACCTGCTTTCTAGTTCAGTCATTCATTCGCTCACATGTTCACACGAGCGTGCTGCAGGGGCGGCTTGCGGGCTGCTTAAGGCGGCGCGCGGGCTGCGAAGGGCAGCGCGACGGGCAAGCAGGGCGGCGTGCTAGGTAGGGCAATTAGTGGGGTAGTGCTGTGGTGGGCCCTAAAAAAAAAAACCGGTCCTAAGGAAGGACCTGCTATGAAACCATGTCAAACTACTGAACGAGAATGGTTGAATTAAGATAGAACTGAGTACAAGTACTAACCCTAATTGGGTTGTACCCCTTATGGGCTACCCCACTATAGCCTACACAAACTAAGCACTAGAACATTCTGACATAAGGGCACCCTTTTTTTAATTCGA